GTAAAGATCATATCTCTTTCACAAACTTCAAAGCAGAGCCGACACAAAAAGGAAAGGAAACAGAAACATTCTCTCAGGAAAACTGAGCAGCAGCTCCAGTTAATGAGTCCAATTAACGAGCTTTGTGCATGAACAACACACACACACACACACACACACACACACACACACACACATATGTAGAGATTGTATTCCTTCAGAGGACATCACATTAATTCATATTTATTTTCTTGGTGTGTTTTTTTTTTTTTTGTCCTTCCCTGATTTCACTCTCAGATCTCATTCCGATCCATGTCTTTGTCCTAAAATGGACATCTGTCAATCACTCTCAGGACATTTTTTGTCCTGACGCTGACGATGACCACAACATACGGCAGTTTTTTTTTAAGAAAACTGCTCCTCCGTGTGTTCTTATCTCTGAATGTTGGATGTAGTTTATCTCTGTTGGAGGTAAAGAGAGGGGGAAAAAAAAGAAGCTAATAATTTGCGACATTTTGCTTCTGGTGAATTGGGCCTGACATTTCCCAGTGTTCTGTTATCAAGGCAGTGTAGCTGCGAGGGGGGGGGGGGGGGGGGGGGGGAAATGAAATCGACATCTTGGTTTGAAATCCAATTAATTTCTCCCTGTAATGCTATTATCTAGAGCACGCATATATTTACTGCATCAAACACAAGGCTCCTATGCAAAATGTATGAACGCTGTCAGGTTGATTCAGTGTCTGACGCAGACTTGATGAGTACGTTTAGACCAGAGAGAGGTTTTTAATACGGCTGAGTGAAAACACTATCATGGCTCCAGCTTCAATAAGTGACTAATGTATACTCTGTAAGTGGTCATATACTACACTGCATAAATATATATATGTATTTTTTCTGAGATCATATATTTGATGCAGTAATATATATATATGTATGTATATATATATGTGTATATGTATATATATGTATATATATATATGTGTGTATATGTATATATATGTATATATATATATGTGTATATGTATATATATGTATATATGTATATATATATGTGTATATGTATATATATGTATATATATGTATATATCTATACATATATGTATATATCTATGTATATGTGTATGTAAATATACATATGTGCATAAATATACATATATATTTAAATATGTATGTATGTATTTGTGTATATATGTGTATGTATTTATACATATATTTGTATTTATGTATGTATTACATTACAGTACAATATAATACATTTAGCAGACACTTTTATCCAAAGAGATTTACTAATATATATATGTATATATATATTTGCACATTCAGTTTGACCCCGGTCCATGTGGGATGAACCAGCCGCAGCTGTGATTTGCTGATTACGTAATAACATGTTTTTCCCCCTCTGCTCCTTGTGTTTTTTTGCTCAGCCTGCCCCGTGGGTCAGTTCAAGTCCAGCAACGAGGGTCAGTGCACGACCTGTCCCAGGTTCAGCCACGCTCCCATCGCAGCGCTGTCGGTCTGCACGTGTCAGTCTGGGTACCTACGAGCCGCGTCTGATCCTCGTGACGCCCCGTGCACCAGTGAGTATGCGTACTGCAGTACTCAGCGCATCACATCTACAAGTACTTCTCTTCTCACCCATGTTTTTCCTCTTCATCTTCCTCCTCCTCCTCCTCCTCTCGGCTGAGCTCCTTTATTCTTCTCTGTTGTCCTTCTCAGAGCTCAGGGCATTGACATGCATGTCTTTTGTGTGTGGGGGGGGGTATTAAGAGATGGGTAGGTGCAGGGGGGGCAGGGTGAAGAAGGCATTGATGGACCTGGGTGTCACCTCCGCGCTGATTCAGGAATTTAACTTCAGTCACTGGTTAAGACCTCTGAATGAGAGGCTTTAAATTCCATCTGCGTTCGTCTCCTCCTCTTCCTCCTCCTCCTCCTCCTCCTCCTCCTCCTGCTGCTGGACCAGGGCTGACATTTACCCTGGAGACAGGTGTGGAATCAGCGCCACCTCAACTTTGAGTGACTGATAACTATAAATACCACAGGTTTATCTTAATTATAAATCAGCCAATCAGACCCTTCCCTGTTATAAACAGTGGAGTTTATAACAGGGACATCCGCTCGTCTGTCGATTGGATTTTTCTACATTAAAAATAACTAAAAACCAATGCATTCATTCCAGCCCCCCCCCCCTAGGAATATACTATTAATTCTTAAAATTAACTCCCCTCCATTTAAACATCAAAAACGTAGTTATAAACAAATATAATGATAATATAAAATAATAATAAAAATGGGTAAAATAACCCAGAGAGGGACAGTGAACGCGACGGTGCACTCATAACTGGATGTTTCCACGTATCACGAGGGAAAAATCTGGCAGAAGTCGCTGACTCGTATCTTCGAGGACCTGGTATCCAACTGTTACTGTTGCAGATCAGTAATTCTGGCCGTCCCCTTGGTGAATCATGCAGGAAGTCTCTCTGTCCTGTGACCGTTTTTGTGGTTTCATGAAGTCATAAAACATTTCACTTGGAAAAACAATGTTTTTTTTGTTTTGTTTTTTTGTTACCCCAAATGTAAAAATTCCCATCATCCACCTGTGTTGTTCCAGGATGCCGCCCCACTTTAGATCTCTCAGGAACTCTTATGTCCCCTTCAGGCCAACTCACAGGAAGTCATTCACACTGACTGGAGTTCTTCTTCTTCTTCTTCTTCTTCTTCTTCTTCTTCTTCTTCTTCTTCTTCTTCTTCTTCTTCTTCTTCTTCTTCTTCTTCTTCTTCTTCTTCTTCTTCTTCTTCTTCTTCTTCTTCTTCTTCTTCTTCTTCTTCTTCTTCTTCTGTTACTCTCTTGTACTTGGCCTCCGGGGCTGCAGCCGTCTTCTTCCACTTCTCAGACAGGGGTCATTATTGTGCCATTTTAAAAAAAAATCCCTAATTGCATCACTTTAACTTCTGACACACACACACACACACACACATACGTGGGAGGATGGTGTGTTTGAAAGCCACTGCAGGAGCATCGATCTGTTTGGTGACTACACATGTCGACCTTACAGGATCAATGCATCTTAGAGAGAGAGAGAGAGACACAGACAGAGAGTGTGTCTCTCTCTCTCTGTTGGTCACAGAAAGGCAGAGCAGGAATAAAATAGAGTCTGAAGAGATTTAAAATTTGATTTGATGGAGAGATTTTATCCACTCGGTTCCGTCGTGGCTGCACCACGATGACATGTTTGACAGAATAATGCCACGTTATTCAGCAAGTGAAATGTTGTGGTGTGTAATGTTGCTCTCCATGACTGTGGTGTAGAGCGCTGACGCTCGTCCGCGTGACGTTAATGACGCTGTTACATCTGAGGGGAAAAAAAAACGAAGAAAAAAAAACTCTGACATTTAAAGACGTTCACGGGAGCAATTAACGGGTGGCGCTGGAGGGAAGCCGCGTTTCTATCAATAGAAAATACAGTGTGGTTGGACAAAAAAAAAAAAATCAATTAAACTGAAAAAATATTGACAAATGAACTAATTTAAAAAAAGAAAAAAAAAGCTCCATAGAAACATGTTTTCCGTGTTTTCTTGACTCACCGGCCTGTAGTCCAGATCCATAGGGTTGAAATTCTTCCT